GGAGGAGCTACAGGCGGAGTTGGTTTATTGTTACTTTAAAGCATATTAGTTTCTTTTTCGGTTTACATGTTCAATCACATGTTTTACGTCTGGAGAACTTAATATTTAATGATACTTTAAAAGTTGAATACCTGGATTTATTTAGGTTGAGTACTTAGGTAAAAATTTATTCAAGCCCTAACCACGTTGGATGTAGTATAAATGATCGTAGGGACAAATTGTTACATCTTTGATTGGTACAATCAAAGGATTTCAAAAGGTTGAAATTGTAATTAGTTCAGAAAAATGAGATTATTGATTATGAGTAACAAAAATATAGTCACAGCTTTAAAAGTGTGATATTACATTAAAATGTAGGATTCAAGAAAGTTTAAGAATGAAAACACCTAGGTTATTATTGTTCATTTCTAGCTATACCATTATAAAATTCTATAACCGTAAAATATAACTATCCCGAAAACCTAAAGTCGAAAGTCTGTATATTCCAATAGGCCATTATCTAATGATCAAAAAATTTATTGGCTGATTTTATAATTTAACTAAATCATCCAGTAAACACTTCCTAATCAACCTTCTTGATTAAACAGCATAATGAGTTGGCGTCAGTAGTGATTGACCATGGAAACTATAAAAACTTTTATAATAAAAGAAAACATTAATATGTATCAATCAACATACAACTAACTTAAACTATGGTGGACAATATTTATAAAAACAACATTCCCATTACTCCTTTTTTTTTTAAAAAAAAACGATGTAGAAATAAATTTAGCACATTAAAACTTTTAATTACCATTTTTATTTCAGTCACATTTTCCATTTACCCTAATACAAAATTTTAATAAAGAAAACTGTTGCATTTTTTATAGCCAGTAATGTAAATCACATGACAGGAACTTTATTTGAGATTATTTCTTTTTTTGTATCCAAATAATAGGGGGATTTAAGTAAGAAAAAAAAAGTCACTCATTATTTTGTTACATTAATAATAAGTTTAATTTTCATTCATTTCTTTTCACACTAAATAAATTTTAATGTGTACTATGCCACTCCCTTAAATGTTTGTCTCTTTTTTTCTTTCTTTTTTTACATTAAAAATCAATAATCGATTGGGTAAGACTTACAAACAATGTGTATTTGTCTATGTATCTTTCTATCAATGTTTGCCAAACACATATAAATAACATGTAGGACTTTTTAAGTAAAGATGTATGATGGCTAGTAGTGGATTCCAAGATGGTAGTTTTATCCTAAACGATACTGATCAATTGTAGTTCTAAACATCAGTAGGAAGATTACAACAAACAATAGAAAATAAATATAAGACTTTTGTTCATAGTTTGTTGATAACTATCAAATCCAAGTATCGACCCATCATTAATGTTTATTTCAATTTCAAAATCATGAACTTAACGAAAAAACCTTCATTAGTTCGTATTCATTGGGCAATCATTGAAAAAAATTTACATTTTAGGGCAGTTTCGTAGAAACCAAGTAGTTTCATCGTGAAACGATATAAACTAATTTGTAGTAAGAAAAAAATCGGTATTTAAAAGCTTTTTTATTTTAATTTAATACTTCTTCCTGATTCCTTAATATGGTCCCATACTTGGAACGTTCGAATCAACCAATACACCTGTAAAATATAGAACCTTCTCAGATTTATCAAATGAAATATCTGTCAAAAGTTATTTAAAAGTGTAATTGCAATCAAGATGTTTATTGCCTTGAATCCGCTTTTAATCCGTCATATCGAAAGGTTATGTATCCCGTTTTTTTGACATTTGTACTACAGATCAAAGTTCAGTGACTTGATGTAAACTTTTCAGCTTCCAGTCGTGTTATACTATTGCCTATTTATAAAATAATTTTTTAGATTCAATCAAATTGTTGTAACTCATTATATAATCAATGTCGTTAATTATAAGCAACCTTTTACAATTAAAAGTGTCTTTGATTCATACAAACGTATATTCTGTCCAAATTTAAATAACACCCATTCCAAAGTTGTTTTGTGGAGATATCATAGTTGAAATCATGAGTCGATTGAAGCTAGATCACCATGGAGAACCTGAAAGCACTGAATTACCGTCTCGTCCTATTGTGGGACTCCTCAGCAGTGCGCATTCACGATCCCATCACATGAGATTCGAACCCAGGACTTACCACAATAGAACGAAACGGCCATCCAGTGCTTCCAGGTTATCCATGCTAGTCTAGCTTCAATTGACTCATGATTTCAACTATAAGATTACTGAAATCTCTGTTTAAAGTACAATCATTATTTAATAATATTTAATAAAATCAAATCATACAGACAGTTAGGTTAGTAACTAAAAGTTTAAATATTGATTTAATTTTAATTATTTGCAAAATCTTACAAATAAAAAAGTAATTTGATAAAATTCACCTCTATTGAATATTGAATATATCACTAATAATTTATTATTATTTTTAACAGTTGAAATCATGAGTCAATTGAAGCTAGACCGCCATGGAAAACCTGGAAGCACTGGACGGCCGTTTCGTCCTATTATGGGACTCCTCAGCAGCACGCATCCACGAACCCGCTCTCGCGAGCGAGAGCGTGGTCTATCGGTTAAGGGCTTCAGCTCGAGACTGGTAGGTCCTGGGTTCGAATCTCGCTCGCGAGAGCAGGTTCGTGGATGTGCACTGCTGAGGAGTCCCACAATAGGACGAAACGGCCGTACAGTGTTTCCAGGTTTTCGATGGTGGTCTAGCTTCAATTGACTCATGATTTCAACTGTGAAAATACTTAATTCTCCACAAAACCCCCTCTGATCTATTATTTTTAAGTATAAAATTAATTATTCATTTTATAAAGGAAGAATATATGTAATTCAACTTGTTAATAGTACATAATATATATTATCAGTATTTTCTGTTAAATAGGAATAATATATTTGTAAAATCTCAGCGAATGAATTTGAAGTAAATCCAATGTTTCGCCTGGCAATCCAGTTCAAGCTTTTTCAAGGAATATCCTATTTCATGTTGTACATCAACTTGGCGCTCAAATACAGTGAAACTATTCGTTCTAATTTAGACGAAAGGTCATATATAAAGTATTTTCTATTGTTATCTAAAATGTTGCTTTATATCCATTTGTAATTAATATATGATCAGAAAGGGTTTTGTGGAGATTTAGTATTTTCATAGTTGAAAGCGTGAGTCAATTGAAGCTAGACCACCATGGAAAACCTGGTAGCATTGTACGACCGTTTCGTTCTATTGTGGGACTCCTCAACAGTGCACATCCACGATTCCATCTTACGAGCTTTGAACCCAGGACCTACTACAATAGGACGAAACGGCTGTCCAGTGTCTCCAGGTTTTCCATGGTGGTCTAGCTTCAGTTGACTCACGCTCTCAACTATGAAATTTAATATATGGTAAATTAATTGTACTTTATTATTTTATTATATTATATTTACAAATAGTCATGTTAAAATCAATATTTAATATATTTCATTAATGGGAGAATACAGACTGAGAAGATTCCATCAAAACTAATTATTGTTTTAGCTATGATGGGTTGGATCATTTTGTATTAGTACAATGATCACACAGACACAAGGGCATATATATATATATCCATAGAATGAATATAGCATTTTCTTGTCCAACCAGTAACATAATTAACTTGCTATTTTTAAATAGGGTCTAATGTTTGAAAACATAGTAATATGATAGTAATAACGGTAAAGTTTTATCATAAACAATTGTGCTCATCAGATAAATGCTCTATTAAATAGTATTCAAGTAATCATATGATGCTATTAATTTTTTTAGATGAAGTTCCGCTTTTATTCTCATGATTAAGAGTTGTGGTATTATGAACTATACAGGAAGAATAGAGTACTGCTTTTAGAAGAATATTATATTCATTTTCGACAAGTACTGTGATTAAACAGTTTTGATTGATAATAACAATCCAAATGTAGTAACAGAAAAGGTGAATCGAGCCACATATTTAGGAAATACATATGTTAACTAAGGCCTATCAGTTAAAATATTGAATATCAACAAGAAAATAATAGAAATGTTTACTAACAACCTCATATACAGTGAACAGGTAATGGGGATATGAACTCAGTAGTTTATTGAAAAAACGCTTTGGTTCTTTAGGCAATAAATACTGAAATGGACTCACAGTTTGAGCTTCAAAATCTAGATGCAAATATTTACAGTCGATAAGCCGCAAACAGGATGAGACTAGCTTACTCAATTGTATTTCTAATCATAGTCTAGATTAATATACTATAATTTACTTCATAACATTTTATTGAAAGCATGAGAATTCAGAAATCAGTAATTACTAGAATATTTCAAGTTTACCCCACTTAGTACTAAGTCATCTGCTTCAGAATCCGAAACTTTAGAACTCAATTAAAATGATAAAATGAAACGTTATTTGTTGATCAGTTATTCTGAATGCTTCTCAGAAGAGTTGCACGATTAATACAAGCGGACTAAATTCTTCATTAACCACTTAACCATGCTATATATCAGTTGCAGTTATGCTTGTTTAAGAAAAATAATGCACATTATCAGTGACCGAAACCTGTTTAACGAAGATTAGGGCATACAAATACAGACAAATAATGATAACAAATGATCTATTTAATAGGTTTAAATCGCGTAGAAAGACAAGCAAATATATATATATATATATATATCCGTCACTCAATAATCAAACTTTTAAATATTACTTCCCAAAGAGATATAGAATAATCGAATAGTGAATTATCTTTCACTGAAATCTCGCAAGCGGGATCGTGGATGCACACTACTGAAAAGTTCCATACTAAGACAAAATGGCCATCCAGTGCTCTCAGGTTTTTCAAGGTATTCTAGCTTTGATCGACTAATGAATTCAACTGGTAAATTAATACAATCTCCACAAGACGCCTTCTTGAGAGTTAATTTTCGTTAATATATATGTATAGATTACAATTCTTTATTTAGTTTCAACTTACCAGTTCATTTTGTTTTGTTCTACCAACATTATGTCGTGTAGTTGTTTTAATCCCTTTGACTGGTTTACGTCCATTAACACGTTTTGTAGATTTCTTACCTGGTTTTATAGTGTAGTCAACATTTACATTTGATCTTGGAATAAGTGTTACATCAGAATAGATATCCAGTTCGCTTGAAACAGACGGTAAACCATCAATAGAGTTATCATTGTTACTATTATTATTATTACTATTACTACTACCATCTAATTTATGACTATCTGATCTACCATCAGTTTTGGTAACCATCAGTGTATTAACTTTAGTTTTATCAAATCTGTTCTCGGAGACTTCTTCACCATTACTTGTCTGACTACTACTTATACTACTACGACCAGAATCAGTTGATGAAAAACTATGAATATTATTAGTATCTACTTGAGTTGTGTTGTTTGTATTCTGTGCTAATGATGATGACGATGATTGCAGTTGACCATTTTGATTTTCACTATCAATATTTTGACTTGCTTTAACTGTTACCATGGTTGATTGATCAGATGATAGTGATGATGGTGAGTGACATGATGTATTCATAATCTGACGAACAGGATTATTCACTGGCGGTGTTTTAATCGGTGTTATCGTTGTTCTTAATGCTTTCATTTTTGGTGATGATGAAGTTGAGGGCGATGAAGTCGTAAAGTGTTTATTGTTACTATTATTACTGGTAATTTCATCAGTATTATTAATATTAGTGTCCATATTATTTTGTTTGTTGAGATTAACAGATGTGATAGTATCGGTTTGTTTATCTAAACAAGAGACTGATTTATTTTTCTTTCTGTCACGATTATCCATAATATGATAATGTAGATTCTTCTGATAGAATTCAAATGTTTGTTTTATTGATTGTACGGTCTGTTTTTACTTTTTGCCCCAAATTGAATATCATAGAATACACATGATCGATTGCTAAATGAATGTGAAGAATATATTTTAAGGTTTTTCTGTCTATATGTTTGTCAAAAGATTCGTTGATAATAGTATTGTTAATAATTCCAAGGGTTACTGAATAATATTTAGGGCCATGGAGGTAATAGGTAGGGTGTTATCATAGTGTACTTTCCATTCTGTTGAACAGGTTGCAAAAGTAAAACATCTATTTCGCACCTGTTTGAGTTAATATCAGACACTTGTAAAGTCAATAAAAAATTTCACTATCTCAACTGTTATGGTATTCCTCTAAATTATGTAATATGAAAGTAATAATCGTTGTACTTCACTGAATCGATGTATTTGTAATAATTACAGTTCACAGATGTTGATAGCTATTAATAAACAACTAAATAACTAAACTGTTTGGCCATATCATACATTGCATTTATGCGTGTTTGAATATAATGACAAAGTAAACTTTATATCTGATTTGATTATAATCCTACTATTTTAGGCAAAATAATTTTAATAGCCAATAGGAGGAAAAAATCCTGACTTAACCAATTTATAGTTTCATTTGATTGGTCAACCTAATTTATTGTAATTTTAGGCTCAAAATATATAAAATATGGTGTTTTTAATGATTTAACTATCTAATTGCTTTTTACTATGATCTAAATATACGTTATTCAAGTTTCTAGTATGATCAGCTAATTGTTGAAGTGTTTATTGCTGATTTTGTGTGAACAATATTTTCTTCGGCAGAATTATCTCACCACTTGGTGCTGTATTATTTAAACTCAGAGAGACTATTACAATCGACTGTCTAGGCTTATAATCTTCTAAAGGATTATAAAATTGTTTGCAGTTTGCTAGTACGCTAAAGACTTGACATTCTTGGGAATCGATAGTCATATAAATATCTGAATTTCCATATTATGAAGGTTGGGTGAGCTAGTCTTAATAAATACGTTCATTCAGTATTTCCCCATATGGTTTAAAGGATAAAATTAAAATATGAAAGTGGTCTCAAGCATAACTTAAAGTCAGTTAGAAAACTAAAAAAACGGCAAGTCATTGAATGTCCGTTTAGTTCTAGAACTTCTGGTTTTCACTATTTCTCCAACTGATATCAGTTTCTAGTAATAATTATCTAGAAATGACACCAATAAATCTAAACAGAGCGATAAAAACAAGGTTTGTAAAATAAAATTAATTTTTAATCAATATCTCAACATCTCATCAGCTGGATATAGCCTAAAGTTATAATAATCAACAGAAATATTAACTGATGTTTAAGATTAATAGTTGAATTCATGAATTGATTTAAGCTAGACCACCAATGAAAACCTAGAAGCACTTGATGGCTGCTTCGTCTTAGTATACGACTACTCAGTTAGAAATTTACACCGTTGGATTACCGTTTAGTGGCCTAGAGGCTAACTGTTTGCGCGTGAGACCGAAGATCTTGAATTCGACTCTCGAGTGCTGGATCGTGGATGTACACTGTCGAGGAGTCCCATAGTGGGACGAAACGGCCGTCCAGTGCATTCAGGTTTTACAAGGTGATCTAGCTAAGGTAGGCTCATGAATTCAGCTATTAAGATCACTAAAACCTCCACAAACTCTAATTCTGATAAAATACTTTAGTTTGTGAAGTTTAAACAAATATTCGAAGCGAAATGAAAGTGAGAATAATAAGAAGAATAGGACAGGAAGTATGGGAATATGCATGATTAAGATTTAGTTATTGGAAAGTAGCAATGCAGAGTAGAATGAATGTTATAGTTACAAGTAATCATTATCAAGATAAAAGAGATTGTTAAGCAAAGGTAATGAAATTGATGATTGATTGCAATATCACTCAACATAATAAGAAATAAAATTAGATATGTGAATAATAATAAGATAATGTACGAGATAGGTAAATATGTAGGGGTAGGTAATGACTGTTAAACCATAAATGAAAATATTTGTACTGATTCAACATGACTATGTACATAATATCGTTTTTAGTGTAATTCATCTTTGTATTGTTTCTTCTAATCTTCCTGTTGATGTTTAGGACTACAATTGATCAGTCTCTTATTGACATATGCGCATCCTTTACGGATTGCCTCAATATTGCCATCAAGTCAAAAGCGATGAACAGAATACTTAGTTCTGTATGTACAGGTCTAGTTGAAAAATGTTGGCATCTAACGGTCTTGGTATGTTTATTAAACGGCGTAATATAAAGAAAGAAAATAACACCAACATTATCTACATATTCTTTAAAAATAGATTATTGTCGATATGACCATGTGAAATAGTACTGAACTTATGATGTATGTGATTACTACACTTCCTAACCAATCTAAACAGTGTTCTATGTATTTATTAAGTGTGAACTTGATGGGATTCTTTTCTGCCTATGCCACTATTACCAAGAAACAGTCAAACGTGTGAGTATTCTATTACGTTCATATAAATTAGCGAGCTCCTATGGTGTGAAGAGAGTTTACAAAAAAAGATTTCGATATATTTTAATTAGTTGTGATAAGAAAAGAAACTTTAACTTCCCGTTGGAAATAATTTCAAGCAATCAAAATTAAATCTAATACTAGAATATTAAAAGGGTAATGTGCCCGAATGCCGAAAATTTAAAATAAGCTTATATCCTAACATTAGATTACAGCTGATTAATAACTGAAGTACATTTTCCTTAATTTTGTAAGGTAAGTAGAAGAGGTTACTACAAAAAAGTTACAAATTTGTGACTATAATTTAATTAAATGTATACTGCAGCATTTATCATAACACTTATTTTAAACTAATTATAAGAAGTATATCCATATCGTTTCTGTTATTTCTTGGAATTAACTAAACTTTAAGGCTTTAATGTGAGGTTTATTATTCTGTAACTTTGTAGGTTGCCGCAATAAGCTAATGACTTAGTTATAATTATGAAGCTTTTAACATAAAACAAATTATGTGGTTCAATTATGTGATATACACATGAACAAGGTTAAAGCCTTTCTTACAAAAATTCGATATAGTATCATCTCAAGAAATAGAGCGATGAAAGTATTGTTGAGATAAAAAAATTTGAATTTATAAAGAAATTAGCGTTCTATCAGACCTACTGATGAGTACGTTAGTTGAAGTGGATCAGTTTGGGCATTAAACATAAAAGATTATATTCAGAAAGTGAATGGGATTTAAGTTGACGATTAGAAATCTCCAGAATTAGTGAATGGTATAGATCAAACTAAACATATATGAACAGTTAGGTAAGTTCACATGATGATGTGGAGCTGATTGAATTAATCACACAAACCGAGCGCTTTCTGAACTCAACTCCGAACACTCTTCCGCTTGACTTTCGAAAGGTGTGTGTAAAATAATCAATAGTTTAATATTGAAACATCTTGTGAACTCAAGTCACACGACCCCACTTGAAATACACTTCAAAATCATCTATATAGTCAAGCTATTTAGTTCTAGAGGGGTGCAAATCAATAACATGTGTGCTGCAGAATTGTTGGTAAGTAACCTTTTCAAACCTGAGCTCTGTGTGTAAAAGTGACATGTGAAAGCTATTAATCTTCCTTAATCTTGACATTTAATTTTATGGATGGTAATTTGGTAGTTAATTATTCGTTATTATTACTTGTAACTTTTTTAATTTGTTCTTCACGTTTCTTATACTTGCCAAGTGGATAATTACTTTTCAACACATTACATCTGTCGTTCAATTCTCTGTCGTTACACAGCTTTCTTTTAACACATGAAATTATGTTAACGTCCTCCTATTTTTTAATAAACTATTTTATTTGGTAACTTACCATAAAAGCGGTTGTATAGTTTGAGCAAATAATACTGTCGGGAATTAAACTTTTCCACTGAATTATCTTTGTTTCTTTTTCAAAGACATTATAGGTTACATTCGTTATATAGTAGAAACTTTACTGTGCAAACAACTTCTGTTGAACTTAAAAAACACCTTATGTTGGTAGAAATAAATGCAATAAATTAAAGATAAGCTATCTCTACATTTCATCGCTCATCATAATTGTTTACCACGAAATAGATGATAAGTCCTTGAGGTTTTAAAAGTGAACATATTCTTCTGAAACGATCAATTTAAAAACAACCCATGAAATTAATATAAACTGTTGGAAAATTATAGACAGTATCGTTTTGTGCTTACAACGATCTTTAAACCAATGTTACTATTGGTGTTTTAGTTTCCATAATATAATCTAGTATTTAACACAAGATAAACTTAGCTCTTGAACTCGTATGTTCCCTGTAAAACTTTTTTATAACTAATCCTATTTCTTTCAAAAGTATTTATCGACCATTCATTTAGATCATATTGTTTACACTTACACCCAGAAGAGACTAAATCATTTTCTAGCTAAACTTTCGTATTCATAATATGTTCTTGGAAGTCTTTGAATTAGTGCAGTATTGGCTTCCGAAATCTCCATTGAATATATATAAATTGGTAATTTACTAGTTGAATTCATGGGTCCATTAAACCTCTTTCTGGTAATAACTATCATGTGCTCACTAGCGACTGGCTTCAAGAGGTATTTCCTGGAGTTTTAATGAGAAGCCGTGATAAGTGGAGTTTAACCATGTCTGTTGTGAGGCAGTAGCTCACTGAAGACAATGATGGATGGTGGCGCAGTTTCGCAGATTGGACAATGACACCGTTGGATATCGGCTGAGTGGTCTAGAGGATAAGCTTTCACGCCTGAGCCTGAAGGTCCTGGGTTGGAATCTCCCGAGGCGGGGTCGTGGGTGTGCATCGCTGAGGAGTCCCGCGATAGGACGAACTAGCCGTCCAGTGCTACCAGGTTGTCCATGGTGGTCTAACTTCAATCAACTAATGAATTCAACTATTAAATTATTACAATCTTAACCAAACCTCTTTCTGAAAACAGTGGAGTGTATATTTAGTCAGTTTATGATAAAGTATATAACTCAGATCTTTTCTAATGTATAAAGTATTTATTTGAGTTTATTTGGATTTAATTATGAGTTATTCACATTAAATGCCTAATAATAGAAAAAATATTTTTTGAAATTGAAAATAACAGGTTAAATAATTTGTGGGAGGACATAGATCAATACATGATTATATTTTTGAATCAAATTATCCATAATGGATGATATTATACATATTTAATATTACTGTTCGTTGAAGCACACAGGAAAACCATTCAACCGGTCGTACAGAACATAAATTTCAGCACAAATTTGTTACATTTCGAGTTGGCATTCGTCAACTTAGCGATAATCGGTCAGAATAAGAAGGAAAGGAAGAAAAAATGTCAACTAAAACGGAAAGCTAAATATGATGAACAAAAGCAACAGATACGATCAAAGGATAGATAGAACGGACCAATACTTACCTCGAAATGTAAAGGAAGATACAGCATGGATGTGTCTTTTTCATTACGATCGATCCTGGTTTGTGTTACTCC